TGCTGAAATTGCTGTTGATGTTGGTGTCATGGTAGGGTCTGTTGGTAGTTCAGATTTGACCTAGAGAAAATTTTAAAAACATTTATAATTTGCCTAGTGGTATCCACTCCACCGTAATTGAGCATGATCATGTTTCACACGACTTTTGAGATGTAAATGCATCATATGGTTACAGGATACAAGGTCAAGCCTTTATTGTAAGCCTTAGTGCATCTGGTACCAATCCATTCCTGCTAGGGAGCTCGCCAGGCCAGGGCCCTTGTACTGCTGCAACCAGGAGTGAAGGGAGGTGGCACGCGATGCTCAAGCGCTTGCAAAAAAAGGGAGAGAAGATGGGAAGGCGGGGGAGAGATGGGAAGGCAACGACTAAGCCACCACCACGGCGTCTGCCGTCCTCGCCTCCGGGCCTCACAACCTGAATGCAGGACATGCAGGTGATTGTACGGGAACAAATGTGTAGCGGCCCCTGCAAAGTCGTGTGCTCAGGAAGTGAAGAGGAGGGGGGGGGGGGGGTGGGGAGGGAAGAAGGGCGGGTTGATGGAAAGGAAGGATGGGTGAGGGAAGGAAGGGCGGAAAAAGGAACGGGAGGGGGGGAAGGTTGAGTGAAAGGGGACCGCGGGTGAGCAAAGGGGAAAAGGGGTGAGTGAAGGGGAAAAGGGAGTGAACAGAGGGGAAAAGGGGTGAGGGAAATGAGAGTGAGCAGAGGGGAAAAGGGGTGAGTGAAGGGGAAAAGAGAGTGAACAGAGGGGAAAAGGGGTGAGTGAAGGGGAAAAGAGAGTGAACAGAGGGGAAAAAGGGTGAGCGAAGGGGGAAAGGGAGTGAGCATTGGAGGAATGGGAAGCGAGGGAGGGGAAAGTGGGAAGGGAAGGAGAGGAAAATGGGAAGGGAAGGAGAGGAAAATGGGAAGGGAAGGAGAGGAAAATGGAAAATGGAAAAGGGAGGGGGAGATGGAAAGGAACGCAGGAGGAGATGGAAGGGGCGGAGGGGGAGATGGGAAATGATTGCAGCACATGCGCAGGAGGGGAAGTGCAAAGGCAGGGAAGAGGAGGGAAGAAATGGAGGGACGAAAGGGGAGGAAGGGGAGGGAAGGAAGGTAAGTAAGCGAGATGGCGGGTAAGAAGGGGTAATGGTCCGCCACTAAGACGGGAGATGGGATGCTAAGGAGGAAAGAGGGGAAGGCCAAGGGGGGGACTCGGGAAGGAAGGGAGGAGAGATAAGTATAAACACGCGCAACCCGTGAGGCAAGGCGAGGACGCGACGGGCCGTGCGACGAGGGACTCACGGGGAACAGGGAAGGACGGGCACGGAGCGGCGAGTGGGGAGCGGAAGACGGGACGCCACGAGCTGCGAGGAGAGCGCAAATCAGAAGGGAATGTGGAAAATCAGTGCGTACGGAATGGGGAAAGCAGCGCGAGGGGACCGCAGGAAAGCAGCGCGAGGGGAAGCGGGGATACAGTGCGAGGGGAGGAAGGAGAGAGGGAAGAGGGAGGAAGGAGAGAGGGAAGAGGGAGGAAGGAGAGAGGGAAGAGGGAGGAGAGAGGGCAGGGGGTGGTATGAGAGAGAAAGATGGGGGGGAGGAGGAAGAGGGGGGGGACGGAAAGAGGGGGCAAGATGGCATTGACGGGAGAGTGGGAGGGGACGTAAGAGTTGATGTTACACCCCCAGGGTTGGCGCTGCAACGGAAATGCGGAGAGGCGCTGCGGTGGCGTTAGGAGAGGCGGGTAGACGTTGAGGAGAGAGGCACGGCTTGGACGACCTGATAAGGCATTGTGACAGCGAGGGAGATGGGTCTGCGAGGGGAGAGAGGACACATCCTGGAATTGAAGCATGGGGAGAAGCCTCCTCTGCGAGAGGAGAGAGGATAGAGGGAAATATGGGAGAAAGAGGGATGAGCGGGGAGAGCGGGGAGAAGGGGGCGAGATGGCATTGACGGGGAAGAGGGCATGGAGGGAATCCTACGGCTGAGATTGGAGAGAGAGTCAATGATAGAGTCACAAGAGGGAGAAAGGGATTTATGCATTGCAGAAAGGGGAGATCGGACGGACGGAGGAGCGAGAGAGGATAGAGAGGGGAGATAAGACAAGGAAGGGAGATAGGTCAGAGAGGGAGGAAGTTGCCGGGAAGGGTAGATACGACAGGTAGGCGAGAAGGGACAGGGATCGGAGATAGGACAGGGAGGGGGATTGGTTATGCATGGTTCCGCTCGGAGTGACGTTGCTTTGGGTCCAGACCTGGTAAGCGTTGGAGTCGGAGCTGTGTTAGGATAGGGAGAGCGCTTCGCAAAGGCGCGTCGAGGCCAGCGCAGAGGGTGCGCGGAATATGCGAAGTGGCGGCACGGTCATCTCGCCGCGAAGGTTCAGATGCCGCGATTTGAGTGCTCAGCCGTGGCGCTAAGGGCGCTCGGTCGCGGCGATGGAGGGCATAGGGAGGATTGGAGAAGGAAGAGAATGTAGCTAGCATAAAGCCGAGTATGGGAGTGAGGGAGTTAGAAATCGACAGAGTAGGGGCGAGGATATCGGTCAATTTCTTCGCGCGAAGTGCGAAATTCGGAGTGCGCGGTAGTATCTCCGCTTGTTTGCAAGAAGGCGACGGAAGGGGAGTCATCGTGGAACAAGGGTATGTTTGAGCGCGGATAACAGAGGGGGGTGAGCGCCAGCGACGAAGGGGATTGCGCGAGTGCGATGGGAGAAGAGTGAGCGCGGACGACGGAGAGGAGTGTGCGAAGGCGACGGGAGAGAGTGAGCATGGCGGACGGACCTGCTTCGCGCCGAGTGGGCTGCGTTGTGGGGGGCGAGGACAGTACTCGGTTTTGCTGTTCGTAAGGCGCAAATTGTGTGCGTGGTAGGGCCTACGCCTGTTCGCGCAAGGTGCGGTCTGCGAGCCCCGTCGCGGAGAAATTCGTGCTAATGGCGCAATGCGATGTACGACTGGCGGAAGCGCCTAGGTGCGAGCGAGATGAACCCTGGGCGGGCGCGAGGATGGCGATGGGCAGTCGCTGTCGCGTCGTTATGACGAGCTAAACTGTGCTCCTTAGGCCATCTGTTGTTCGCGCTAATAACCAATTGATTATCGTATGAATCGGGGAATCCGTGCGATGTGGTTCACGAGCGTCATGCTCCAGGTTCACAAACCACTGGGCTGTGTCTCAAGTTCCCAACTCCCAGTAGGGTCGTCGCAACTGGCGACGGGGGAGAGACAGCCCGCGCAAGTCCGCTAGCACTGAACTTTGGTTCGCGTTGGACCCCCAAGCACAAACAGGGTAACCACCCAAGGCAAGTGATAAACCTTTGGCCCCCCCCAAAGTGCACCCTTGCTTTAGTGCTTTCTTTACTAATCAATCACTTCAGCCTCGTTTCTATCAGGAGGGTGGAGTGGCACGAGGAGGTGCGCGAGGATGCAGTGGAGAACTGAGGTGCTGACCCGCCCTGACCCGCCCTTATCCGCCCTGACCCGCCCTGACTCGCCCTGACCCGCCCTGATCCGCCCTGACTTGCCCGGACACCCCACCCCCCCCACGCACACCCTCTGACCCGCCCTGACCCGCCCTGACCTGTGTGAGCAAGTCGACGCCGCAGAAGGCCCTGGCGACCATGGCATGCGCGGAGGTCGGGGGCGCGGAAGGGTGTTGGGCGGAGGGCAAGAGGGGAGGGGGGGGTGGGGGGGGGGGGGGGGGGGGCACGCACGCGAGCAGCATGGAAGCCCAGAGCTTAGAGAACGAGGGGAACCCACGTGAGCAGCATGCGAGAAGATCCCAGAGCTTAGTGAGGGCGCACACACTTGAGCAGCAGGTGCAGGTAGAGGCGTCGCAGCAGCGCCCACGACGGTCCCAGGCTCGCCGTGCCCTCCACCACCACCACCACCTGCTTCGCCGGCGCGCGCCTCGAATGCCCCGCCTGCTGCTGCTGCTGCTGCTGCTGCGTCTGCGGCTGCGGCGCGTGCGGTTGCGGATGCGCCATGTGCAACCGCGGCATCGGCGCCTGCGCGGCTGCGGGATGCATGCCGCCCGCCCCAGCGGCGCAGCCGCCATTCGCGCCGCTCACCCGCCGCTCGTAGCTCGCGCCTCCATGCAACCTCTCCGCGCTGCCTCTCTCCGCGCTGCCTCTCTCCGCGCTGCCTCTCTCCGTGCTGTTTCCGCCGTTCCCGCGGGACGCTGCAAGACAGACCCGCTGCGCGGCAACTGTAACGCGGTTCTTACGGGGAGCGCATTGGTGAGATAGCGATGGTGACTAATAGCACTCGGGCTTGGAAACATCCGCGAAATCATCGTCATTTACATTCGCCCCTCCACCTCCCCCTCTAGCAGGAGTCACGAGAACACCACCAAACTCCCGCTACAGCCGTAGACGGGAAATTTCGGGCGGCAGGGGGGGAAGGATCCGACGGTAAATGACGAACATGTGGGGACATTTTCCTGGTCTAAAAACGGGGGTAGCTATTTCGCGCTAACAAGCAAGACGGGGTACAAACAAAACCAGGGTTACTTCTTGTCGGAAAACAGAAGTCAAGAGCAAGACGGGGGTGGCTGACTAGGGTTTGCTCTAAGAAGGGGACGTGGTTTTTTTTTCCAAGGTCTTGTGCGTGTGGAAGGGAGAATCCCTGAAGCAGTCGTTAGTTTTACGGGTGGAATGTTGGTTTTCCCTCCCCAGCACCTCCCTCACATGCCCGTCCCACATCCCCGTGAGTAGTGGTTGCCGGAATGGGGGGCGAGGGAGGCAAAATTTGCCCGATGAGGAAGGTGGGGAGGGTAAATGGGAACCTTCCAAAGGGTGCACATCCCTGAGGGTAAATGAGCGTTCTGTTGCCATTTACCTTCGGTTTGGTTCGGAGGGCAAATAGGAGGCTCGGCACGGTTTCCCGGGCTGACCGTCGTGTCTACCCAAAAAACGCAGAGGGGGGAAGATTCCTATTTCCCCTCGCTCCCCCCTCGCCAGTGCCTAGAGAACACTACCTAGATTTCTCATCCGTACCAAACCGATCTCAGTTATTCGCGACCGCCAGCCATGCCTGTCATACCACCGTCGCTCCGCGTCCACATCTCATCGCTCGCCGCGCTGCCGCGCAAATCATTGCACCGGCCGCTCAAGCCGCTCCTGACGCCGTCTGTCGCCAGGCTGTTCGCGGCGCCACCCTCAGCCTCATCGCGCCCTGCCGTAGTCGCCATGACGGCCGAGCCGCGAGGGGCACATTCATCCGCGAATCTAGAACCCCCGTTAGATGACGAAACCCTAATTGAGCTCCTGCCATCGTGGGCGCAGCGAACGCTCTGTCTGGCCGGCAGTGGTTGCGGCGACGGCGAGTGCGAGCTGCTCCACGTGGACCCCACGTGGCGAGATGTGCTGGCGAGCCGCCACGTGGCGCACGGAGAGCAGAGCAGGGACGGTAGTGGCGCGTGGGGCGCCAGGCCGCGGCTGATCGTGTGCGCGGGACCTGAGAGGTCGGGTGCGCCTGCCACCACCACTCATCGCGCGCTCATAGCGTTCCTCCCACGCACTGTGCTTGAGTCGTATCAATACGCCGCACTGCTCCTTCCGGGCTTTAATCCCTAAATCGATCAACCTCATGCGTCCTTCAACCTCCTTCCATCCAACCACGCGCCCACATGCTCCGCGCTAACATGCTCCCCGCCCAGTCCGCGCCCACATGCTCCGCGCCCACATGCTCCGCGCCCACATGCTCCGCGCCCATATTTTTCGCGCTCGCATCCTCCGCAATATCCGCAGCCTAAGTTGCAATATACGCTTATAGCGTATATACGCTTATCGTATATACGCTAGCGTATACACGCTATCCGCTTGGGGGTCGACTTTGGAATACGCTTTTCCGGGCAGGGAAAAAACTTTCCCGGGCAGGGCAAAAAAACCCACTTGGGGATGTTTGGGGGGGAGGAGGGGTGGGGCATTTTGGGGGTTTTGCAGCACAGATTTTTTTTTTCCCATAATAAGATTACGACACCATACACACACACATGTCGCTAATACTATCCTGCCACCCTAGTTCTAAGCATACTCATCCTCCAGGACGTCATCCTCGCCTTCCTCCTCCTCCACCTCCGTCTCATCCAACCCGTTGTACCCCTCGGGGATAGGAGGCTCGTCCCCAATCCCTGGCACAACGTTCGGCATCACATCTGCGCGCGAGTGCCAGTTGCGCACAACATTACAGTTGTGCGCAACAAAAACCGGGTCCTGGCACTTCTTAGAGCCGAGGCGGTTCCGGCGGGCTGTGTGGACTGCATCCCAAGTTCCCCACCCACGCTCACAAGGGGATGCCGATACAGGCTGAGATAGCATCCTCACGGCGAAGTGCATCAGGTGAGGTGCATCTGTGCCGTTCCACTGCCACCACTTCACCATGCTGTACTTACCCGCCTTCACCAACTCCCTCTGTGCAATCGCCTCCGGCATCCCAAAACTGCCTTTCAGGTCCAAGAAAGCCCTCAGCCCGTCACCCAAGGCAAGCAAGTAGTCTGGACCAGCATCCCTCCCCTTCCCGTCGTGGCCGATGAGGAACTCCACGTGCTGGTTGATTAACGCCTTGAAAACCCAGGTGCATTCGACGTCGCTGCCAAAGATATCCTCCTCCTGGTTCGCGGGGTTGAGGATTCGGCCAGCAACGTGCATGGCGCAGGCGAGGTTGTTATCCCAGCGGTCCTTGATGATGCGGCGAATCTTGTCCTTCTCCGTGCGACTCAGCTGCTGCTCATCCTCGTCCAGGACGTTGTTGACATCCTCCGTAAGCTGCAGCATTACATCATAGAGGCGGCCCATCATCCCCGTGGCATCTGCGTCAGTCTGCCGCATCGTCTTGTAGGGCAGTTGCATCAGCTTGCAGAAGAATTCTGCCGTCCGCCACCATGCTGCATCAAGGACCTGCCCAGCAAACTCCTCGGCAGCATCCTTCCGCGACCCCACGGCCCACTCCTTCCACTTGTCGGACAGCACCATCGCGTTCAGGGTGCTACGCAACTGACAAAGGCGGGACACAGCAATGTACTGTGTCCCGAAACGCGTTCCCGTCGGCTTCAGCGGCTGCAGCACCCTCCCCTCAACCAACTCCTTGGTCCTCAGGTAAGCGCGCGTCCAATGATGGTTGCGCGCGAAAGAAATCATCTCCCCAGTCTGATCCACCACCCCTTTTGCCTACCCCATCTTTCCCACATCCTCCAGCAGGAGATCCATCACATGCGTAGCACAAGGGACCTGCTGAATGTGGGGCCACTTGGCAATTAGCTCCTGGACAGCCGCGGCATAATTCGACCCCCCATCCATACAAAACGCGACGACATTCTCTGGTCCTACCTCCTCCACCACCGGCTGCAGAATCCCCGCAATGTATCCCCCCGTCTTCCGCTCCATACCGCAGTCGATCGCCTCCTTGAAGACGGCGCCGGAGTCGTTAATGAGGAGGACATTCGCCTGCGCCCTCCCACATTTGTCCGTCATCATGTCGGACGCAATTGTTACCCCCGTCTTCTTCCAGCTCGATTTAATCCCCATCAGCCCCTGCTCAATCCCTTTGCGGACAGCGACCAGCCCAGCCCCGCCGATGAAAGTCCTCCTGGGGGGGACGTAGCCGTGGCCGGCGCGGTTGACGAGCAGCATGGCGTTGATGAACAGCGGGTGGTCCATGGTGACCTCCGGGATTCTGCAGGCCGCAAACATCAGCGCAAGGCCCTCGTCAGCATCCCGTTTAGCCGCAGCGGCATCTCCCTCCAAGTAGTCGGTGATGCGCCGCTTCCCGCCGCCAGCCTGGACTGCCGCAACTGCAGCAGATGTTGCTCGGCGCCTTTCTTCTACCGCGGCAGCCATCTTCTCGTACTTGGTGCGCATCTCGTCGCGTACACCTTGCGATGCCTCCTTGCAAAGCGCCACCTCGCGACGCTTCATTCCCTTCCACGAGCTCAGGTGCTGCGCGCAACGAATGGCTGCACCGGTGAAAACATTGAAGCAGTACTTACACTCGTACTGCTGTGCTTTGCCTTCTTCCCGCACAATGAGGCTGAAATGTTTGAAGACTGCGTGTTCCGGCATGTCGGGAAGGTATTCCCTACCCTCTGGTCGAACAATCGGAGAACTCTGCACTGCCTGAACGGACGGCGGTGTGCATGGCGGGCTAGACATTACGAAAGTGACGGGGAACTGATGAATTGCGTAGTTGCTTGCAACCCACTAAGTAGCACAACGAGAGAAGGGAACATTGGGACAGGTGGTTGGAGTGAGTAGATGGGGGGGGATTCAATGCGGTAACAAACAGAGCGCACAAAGTGTGTACGTGAAAACGCGACTTGACAAATTGACACAACCAATCTCGACTACGTGGGTTGAACCCACGTCCACGATTGGAGAAGTCGCGTACGTGAAATTCGCCATCTGTAAAAAGCCACGTCCACGATTGGACAAGTCACGTACGTGCAATTCGCCTTCGGCAAAACAATCGTCGTGAAATTCCGCAACTTTCCGTATGTTTGAATTTTTTTCCGCCCGGGCTGCCCCAAAAAAAATTGCCGAGCGTATAGCGGATTCGCTTGCGTATAGCGTTTTGCGTGTATACGCAAGCGGATATCCGCTATACGCAAACAGGTCAAAGCGTATATTGCAACTTAGTCCGCAGCTTCCCGCCATCCATTGCACCCATCATGCTCCACGCCCGCGTGCTCACACCAATGGTTAGGAAGCATCTGTCTTTTGCTACCCAGTTTCTGGTCTCCAACAGGTCTGAAGCGAAGCTCGTGACCGCCCCAGTTACTTTGAGGAGTCGCGCGAATTCCCCACTGCACGCTCAGTTCCCCATGCAACCCTCCTCCTTCCCCTCGCCTGCCCGGACCCCCTTCACACACCCCCCTCCTCCCCCATCTTCTTCCCACGCACTTCGCACCTCCACCAATCCCATCACCCTCTGCTGTAACGCCGGAGGGCGTACACGAACGGTTGAAAGGGCGTCCGCTGCATCTCGAAGTAACCGCCGACTGTACCCAGTCCAGTGTATCTGCGGACTCCCAGTGTTCAACACACACGGCTCCCCGACCCTTCCTCACTGCATACCCCACATCACACCCATGGCCTTTCCCATTTACCCCCGCTTCACATCCCCTCCCTCCCGGCCTTCCACCCAACTTCCACCCTCCACCCTACCTACCCCTCCTCCCACTTCCACCTTTCTCCCAAAACCCCCCCTCTCATCTTCCCCTTTTCACAATATCCCTCCCATTTTCCCCTTCCCACCCAACCCCTCCTTCCATTCCTCCCTTTCTACCGAACCCCACCTCCCACCTCCCTCCCTCCACCAAACCCCTCCTACCATTTTCCCCCTTCTCCTCAACCTCCCTTTCCCATCCCCTCTCTCTGCTCGACTGCAGGCTCCACGGGCTACCCCGTTTCCACCCCAGCCTCGCATGCCCTCCCTCCCCTCTTCCCATCCCCCCTCCCATCGCCTCTCTGCCCGACTGCAGGCTCCACGTGGCTCTTCAACGCCGTCCGCCTGCTGCTCGCCCACTCGGGCCAGCTGGCGCTCTCCTATTGGCTGCACTCCATCTCCGCCAGCAAGCTGCGCGCCAGGGGGCTCTCGCCTCTCACCAGCCGCGGACCTGGGGTGGGGGGCGGAGGGGGAAGGGGGTCCGCGGAGGGAACGGGGGAATCCACAGATGAAACGGGGGGGACGGGGGATGGTGAAGGGGTGGGGATGGATGGAGGGGAGTTGGGGGGAGTGCACGTGGTGGTGAAGACGCACGAGTGGGCGGAGGGGTGGGAGGTGGGCGAGTGGACTCAGCTGGTGCTGCTGACTGAGCGAGATGTGTGTGGCGTTGCTGACTCGTACCTCCGCGTCGGTTGGTTACCACACAGCATGCCGTGAGTCACACAGCATGCCGTGAGTCACACAGCATGCCGTGAGTCACACAGCATGCCGTGAGTCACACAGCATGTCGTGAGTCATGCTGAGATCGCAGCATGCCGTCTGGCCGTCCACCTTGCCACGTCCTCCTTTCTGCCTCATGTGCGAGCCCCTTGAACCAATCACTGCAGCCGCCTTGCACTGATATCCTCCTCACCACCTCCACTCCTGCCTCTCCCTGCCCCCTGCATCTCCCTGCCCCTTGCATCTCCCTGCGCCCCACCTCTCCTTCTCGCGCATGCCCTGCTCCCTCGTCGTCAAAGCCCCGCCTGGCCACACCTACTATCCCTGTCCCAACACGCTTGCACTGCCACGCATCAATGCCGGTGGCTCCTCTTCAGTGATTACCTTCACTCAATTCTCTTTTGGAATCTTTCCTCTCGCTGCTGCATCGCACCTCGTGTGTGCAACCCCCTTCATCTACTCGACCACACCAGCAGTGCGACCCTTACCCCCAAGCACACTTCTCTCTGCCTTTCCCCCCTCTCCCATGCACTCCCGCAATCGCATCAGGACCACCCGTCCCACCGCAATCTCCCTTCTCGCTTTTCGACCAGCTTTTCATTACTTTAACCTTCCCACCCTCTGCATGCCTGCCTTTAGGCGCATCAAGGCCCGCCTGCAATTTTACCCGCATCACCAGCATCGGCAAATTATTTACTTTCTTCTTTCCTATCTTTGGCAAAACTTCCCACTCCTCTCTACCAACCCTGCTTCCTCGGCCCTCCTGCATGCAGGCGCATCAAGGCGCACATGCACTCCAACCTGCGCGACCACCATCGCTGGAAGCAGCACGCAGCTGCTGTCATCCCCTTCGCCTCCATCGTGCCGCCCGGCAGCCCCGAGGAGCTGCTCTGCCTCTCCCAAGTCGCTGCGCTCCTGGGACTACCCACCGTGGAGGAAGCTGCAGCAGGGGCGGCACAAGGGGCGGTGGAAGGGACCGCGGAAGGGGCGGTGGAAGGTTCTGGGCTTGAGTGGAGTCAGAGCAGTGTGGGGCGAGGGAGGGCTGGTGGGAGAGAAGTGGACGTGCGTGCCGTGTCAAGAGCCCTTGCTCAGCTGCCAGTCCCCACAGGTTCGACCTTTTGGCCTTCTCTCTCTGTGTTGTGCCACATGCTGGTATTTGAGGCACCTCACAAGTCGGTTTCCACAGGTAAGACCTTGCGACGTAGGCTGGCGATGCAGCAAGCACGCTGTGACCTTCATGCATCAACTCACTCCCCACTTCAAAGCCTCATTTCGCTTTTTTTCCCCCTTCCCACGTCCTCCACTTCCGGCCCCCTCGTTTGCCATGCTCTTCCCTCTGACCCGCCACCAACGCTCACTGCAGGCTGGGCGCCTGACCCGGTGAGCAAGCTGTGGCCGCGCCACAAGAACAAGGGGAAGTCAGCCAGGGGCCTCACAGGAGAGGAGCGAGCGGAGCTGCAGCAGTTTGTGGCATCCTTGGCGCCACCTGCCAGTGCAGCCAAACAGTAATTAGAAGTGGTGAGGTTACCAAGCCGTGGACTCGACAGAAGAGTGCAGCCCACGTGGACAAAGGGAATCGAGCAAGGGGCGTGACAGGATTGCAGAAGAAAACGCAGTGGATACAACCCTACGCAACCCTTTCGACGTAAACGTCGAAGCTTGTTTGAAACTTAAGTCGAATGGACTTCGACTTTCCTTGTACACCCTCGTTCTCGCTAGACTGACCTCGGTTAGGGGAACTTGCAGGAAGAAACAGCATGGTGGAGAGCGGTGAAAGATGGTGCAATATGGTTCATTAAGACTTTTCGAATACGACAAAATTCGCCTGCCAGACGCCCGCTGGTGAGATGACCGAGAATGAGGGTGTAGCGAAGTCCGAACATTGTGGGAATAACACTGCAAAGATGTAATTGTTAGAATAGTAGCTAGAGAGAGCCTTAGGGTTTGGTGGGAGAGAGTGTTGGCCAAGCAAAGAAAGGGGGGTTCACTATAGGCTCGAGGGTACAAATAGGAGACAAAGGAGGTGCACCACCAATACAAAGAGTTTATAACTACACTAAAGCTACAGCTACAGGCAGGTACATAAATATATATAAATATATATTCTAACACTCCCCCATAACTGCCTGCAGCAGGAGCTTGTGCAGCAACAACTCCTGGATGGGTACACCACGAACAGAGAAAGCAGCAACAGGAGGCAAGTGCAATGACAACCAGTGCAGTGGTGGCAGAGACAGCTGCAGCAAGCCCTGAGGCAAGAAAGAGAGAACGAAGACGATGTGCTGTGGCGCGCTTAGTTTGCAGCTCAACAGCAAAGAAGACGAACGAAGACGATGTGCTGTGGCGCGCTTAGTTTGCAGCTCAACAGCAAAGAAGACGAACGAAGAGAGAGAAGCGTCAGGGGCTGCAGAAGTAGGTGCCACATAGCAGTGGACGGCAGCTGCAGATGCGTGGCTACTGGTTCCACCACTCTCTCTTACCCTCCCTTAGCATCTCTCCCCCCCCCCCCCTCTCCCCGACAGCAACAAGTGCTGCAGGGAGAGAGTAAGAGGGAAGGAGAGTGGGGGAGGGACGAGCTACTGGTGGTTCACACCCTCCGCCCCCAGAACTCCCGTCCCCCCCCCCACGGCGGGAGCCGCGGAAGGGAAGGGCGGGGGGGGGGGGGGGGGGGGGGGGGGGCGGCATACGGAGCTGCCGGCGCCGGCGTCCCCTGCTGGCGCAAGCGCTGGCGTGCGCGGATGGCGCAGGCGCTGGCGCCTCGCGGCTGGCGCAGCGCTGGCGCTTCGCGGCTTGCGCACGCGCTGGCGCTGCGTTCCGCACTGGCGCTGGCCGCGAAGTGCTGGCGCAGGTGCGGGCGTTGGCGCGGACGACGGGCAGGGCGACGCGGGCAGGGTAGGGCGCATCGGGGCGCGACGAACTGGAGGGCGCACGGGGCGCGACGAACAGGCAGAGCAGGGCGCAGCGGGGCGCGACGAACGGGAGGGCGCACGGGGCGCGACTCGGGTGACCCGCGGGGCGCCGAAACGTGGGGCCGCGGGCGACGGGAAGGAGGGCGCACGGGGCGCGACGAGTATGCCTTCGGAGCGCGAATCGAGTGGGGCCTGCAGAGAGCGAAACGCGGGACCCATGATCCTAAAAAAAAATAGGTCCTTAGGACCGATTATTGCTCTGTACCATGTTAGAATAGTAGCTAGAGAGAGCCTTAGGGTTTGGTGGGAGAGAGTGTTGGCCAAGCAAAAAGCGGTTTGACTATGGAGAGAGTTACAAGAAATAGGGCAAGGGAAGGTGGCCAAGGGGGGTATACCACCAACAATGAAATAGATACTACACTAACTAAGCTAATATGCAGTTATACATAGAAATACAATTTCTGACATCCCCCCTTAACTGCATACAAGCATAGCTAGTGAGGGGCGCTCTACCCTAAGTGCAGACTTCACCGGGCCGCAGCTGGGCCCACCGATACAACACACGATGGAGTTTCCCGCCTGCGGTTTAACCCCCGCAGTGGATGCCTGGTGTGCGCGACTCTGGGTGACCACGCCCAGAAACGACGGAGAAAAGGAACGAACGACAAGAAAACATTACGAAAGTAGAAAACAGAAAAGAAGAGACCCTTTCTCTCACTCTCTCTTTCGTCCCCCCTTAACCTCTCTCATCCCCCCTTAACCTCTCTCCTCTCCCCCCCCCTCCTCCTACCGCAACGAGTGCTGCAGGAAGAGAGGAAGAGAGAGGGGAGGGACGGGTTGCTGGAGGCTCACACCCGCCACCCCCACATCTCCCCTTCCCCCTCCCCCCCCCCCCACGACGGAAGCCGCGGAAGGGAGGGCGGGGGGGTGGGGCGGCAGTAGCTGCTGCTGGCGCTGGCGCTGGCGCTGGCGCAGGCGCTGGCCGTTGCTCCGGCGCCTGGCGCTGACGTCCGCGCTGGCAGGGCACGCGCGGGGCGACGGGCAGAGCGCGCGCGGGGCAGCCGACGAAGCGCACGCGGGGCGACGGGCAGAGCGCGCGCGGGGCAGGGCGTCCGCGGGGCAGCCAACAAGGCGCACGCGGGGCCGCAGACGGGACGCGCGCAGGGCGACGGGCAGAGCGTCCGCAGGGCAGCCGACGGGGAGTCCGCGGGGCAGCCGACGTGGCACGTTCGGGGGGACGGGCAGGGCGCGCGTGACGGGCGAACGGGAAAAAAAATAGCGCATTTCGCGCTGTAGTACGGGCGGGCCCATGATTCTTAAAAATAAAATAGGTCCTAAGACCGTAGTGGCTCTGATAGCATGTTAGAATAGTAGGCTTAGGAGAAATTAGGTTTTAGGAAGAGAGAGGATGTTTGGCCAAGCAAGAAGCGATTTGACTATGGAGAGAGTTACAAGAAATAGGGCAAGGGAAGGTGGCCAAGGGGGGTATACCACCAACAATGAAATAGATACTACACTAACTAAGCTAATATGCAGTTATACATAGAAATACAATTTCTGACAGTAATCACGCACGCAAGCTCGAACACCAAAATTCGAACCTACATGTTACCCGGTACATGCTCGTAAAGTCAACATACTGCTATTTTTGGGTTGCGTAGCAACCCTATATAATCGATTTCACTTTTTGGGGATATCATTGAAGACTGATTTTTAAAGCACTCTTTGGGGCACACTCTTGAACAATTTTTTTTGGCACGGTATTCAAGATAATGCCTCAAATAGTGAATAAAAATCACTCATGATACCCCAAAAGTGAAACCAACTATATCATGTTGAAACCAGGATTTTATTCCGACCGTCTCATCATCGTCGATTAATACGGCGGACGGTACGATCGAACATGGAAACAACATGACCGAATGAATCTGTACAAATGAACACGGATGATTCAAGAAGTGTTATAATGTATCAGTGCAGCAATAGAGATTGATGGGGCTGTTGAAACAACGAATACACGTTGCACCAACGACGATGACAACCTCTAGTTGCATACACGATGCATTGGAACAGCTTGTCTTGAAACACACACATATCACAAACACGAAATGACAATGTCACGAAGAGAGTTGTGACGACGTCAGAGTGAATGCTTAATATGCACCAATGCTACAACTGAGATTGATGGGGTCGTTGAGACAGTGAAAACACACTGCGCCAACGACGATGACAACCTCAGCTGCAAACACGATGCATACCAGCACCACACCCTGAAATAATCACAACCAACTGACACGCACACAAGCACACACACCCACGCACGTGGTATACATACACACTCACATGCACAGCCACACATACATATATATGCACACACACACACACACACACACACGCACACACGCACACACGCACACACGCACACACGCACACACGCACACACGCACACACGCACACACGCACACACGCACACACGCACACACGCACACACGCACACACGCACACACGCACACACGCACACACGCACACACGCACACACGCACACACACACACACACGCACACACACACGCACACACACACACGCGCACACGCGCACACGCGCACGCGCGCACGCGCGCACGCGCACACGCGCACACGCACACACGCACACACGCACACACGCACACACGCACACACGCACACACGCACACACGCACGCACGCACACACGCACACACGCACACACGCACACACACGCACACACACACACACACACACACACAAATACAATGAAGATAGAGGGCAAAAAAGCATAACAAAGAGTCGCAAAAATGATGAATACGTAACAATCACTGCTAGCCTGCTCCCCCTTCCTATCCCTTCCCCTTTCCCTCTTTATCCCCACGCTTTTCGACATCTTTTCCCTTGCCTTCCTTTTTCTGCTCCCCACAATGCGGCTGGCACAACCTGCAAAACACACAGATCACGCAAAAAAAACATATTGCGGTGAGAGAATCCAGTGAATGATGTAAGGCGCCAACGCGCCGCAGCAAAACGTTAGCGCACTGCATTAGAAACAGTAATGCATGACGGAACGTGTTCAAAATGATGCGACAGACTTATACAAGATAAATACTAGGCAAATCCAATTGGACGACTCACACACGTGGTTTGAAGGCATCATGCACACCACCTCGGCCTGCACGAAATGCATCACTTAAAAGAAAGAAGAAATGATAATGGCACCAAAAACACACCCAGCATTCAAGGCGCAAATGCGCAAGCTCCAAAAGCAAGACTCAGTCACCCAAGGCATCAACGTCCATGGCGCTACTGACGCCAGCGCCCTAGGTGCATACATCGCAGGGTCAATGTGCCCAAGACACCAGCATCTAAGGCGTGAGCAACCTAGGGTTAATGCACTTAGCACCAATGGCTAATGCGTGACCAAGAGGACTAAGGAAGGCTCACCAATGCCTAAGGTGCGGGCGCTAAAGGCGCCAGCGCAGCAAGCGCCAGCGCGTTAGGTGCCAGCACACATGGCGCCAGCGCGATAGGCGCTGGCGCTGCGCCTTAGGCGCTAGCGCGCTAGGCGCCAGCGCGTATGGCGCCAACGTGATAGGCGCCAGCGCTGCAAGCGCCTCAGTCGCCAGCGATTTGGCGCCAGCGCATATTGCGCCAGCGCGCTAGGCGCCAGCGCACATGGCGCCAGCGTGTTAGGCGCAAGCGCAGCAAGCGCGAGCGCATTAGGCGCCAGCGCGCTTGGCGCCAAAGCGTTTGGCGCCAGCGTGTTTGGCGCCAGCGCCTTAGGCGCCAGCGCGCTAGGCGCCAGCGTGTTAGGCGCCTGCGCACAAGGCGCCAACTTACATGGCGCCAGCGCGATAGGCGCCAGCGCAGCAAGCGCCAGCGCCGGAAGCGCCAGCGCCTTAGGCGCCAGAGAAACTGGCGCCAGCGCGTTATGCGCCGGCGCGTTAGACGCCAGGGCGTTAGGCGCCAGCGTACATGGCGCCATATGCGCCGGCGCGTCAGGCGCCAGCGCGCTAATAACCAACAAGCAAAAAGAACTTACGAGGAAGGAAGAAAAAAATGGTATGAAATTTTGGAGGGAGGAGAGAGGAAACAAAGGTTCCGGGAAACGGAAACGCACCTAAGACGAAGGTGCCTCACAAAACGCGCGGTCGTGTCGCAACCCGCGCTCGTGCTCGTGCACCCACCAGTGGCGTTGGCAGGAAGGGAGGGAGAGGCGACGAGGAGGAGGAAGGGAGAACAACGGCGGCGGGGGAGAGAGAGGCGACGGTGAGGAGTGCGGAGAGGCGACGGCGGGGAGTGAGGGAGAGGTTATGGCAGGGAGTTACTAAAAAACGCGATTCCTGGTAGGGAATGGCGATGGCAGGCAGGATGGTCGATAGTTGGGTTGGGAGGAAGCTATTTGGGGTGGGAGTGTTATGAGTTGTGAATGAAAGAGTGCGCAGAATTCAATAACGCGGAAGTGATTACAACGTCTGCATGAACAACGAGGCCTAGGCACAATATAGCAAGTCCTAGCTAGGCCGAGGTCGCGGGGTCGCGAGATGGTTGGGTGCAGGTTCGGGGTTGGAAAACCCGAAGGCGACGCGGTGGTGGCTCGGGATGCGAGGTCGGCGGACCGAGCCTGGTTTTCCGAAAGTCGGGGTTGTACGCGTGCGGAGTGACCCAGTAAGGAATCCGAAAAATTCCTTACACTACCCCCCCCTTTAAGAAAGGTGGTGAATATCCGAGACACCTCGGCGGGCCAGGTAAGCATCCACAACCGGATGTCCCAGTAGCGAGTCCGCGTTGACGTACGTGTCGTCCTCGCTCGTGCGTTCTTTCCAGCGAAGCAGGAACTTGACCGAGCGGCCGGCGGCGGTCACTTCCACACGATGGTTGAGAATCTTCCAAGGTTCCAGCGTGGGCTCTGCCACGGGGCGTGTGGTCGGCGCGAGGGATGGCCGAGCAACAGCTGGCGACTGCGGCTGTTCGTAATGACGCAGTAGGCTGACGTGGAATGCGTCATGGATTTTCCAGTCATCGGGTAGCAGCAGCTTCGCGGTGACAGGTGTCACCATCTGGATGATACGAAAGGGTCCCACGTATCGGGGCCGTAATTTCGCGGGCTGCGGCAGCCGGAGATTTTTGGTGTCGAGTAGCACAACCTGCCCTGCGCGGAAGGGTAAGTTCCGTCGATGCTTGTCCGCCTGGTGGCTGGCTGTGGTATTAGCCCGTCGAATAAAATCAGCTGCTTTCGTGCGGGCGGTCTGCAGCTCCGTGACAAATTGTTGTGATCGTGGTACCGGGTTGTCCACAGTCGTTGAAGAGGGTACCACGGGGTCTATCCCGTAATTTAGGAAGAACGGTGACTGTCGAGTCGTGGCCGAAGGGGCGTTGTTGTACGCAAATTCCAGCATCGGCAGCGAATCCTCCCACTTGCGGATGTCGGGGCAGTTGGTGCGAATGGTCTGATTTGTCCGTTCCGTCTGTCCGTCGGTTTGCGGGTGGTATGACGACGAAAACTGCAGGCGGGTACCGTACTGTGCCCACGTCTCCTGCCAGAACTTCGACGTGAACTTCGGATCACGATCGCTGATGATCGCCGAAGGTAACCCGTGTAAGCGTACGACGGTGGAGATGAACAGTTTAGCTGTATCTTCGGCTGTGATCGTCGTGCGGCATGGGGCGAAATGCGCCATTTTCGTTAGGCGATCGACGACGACCATTACCGAGTCGTTGCCACTTGCGCCAGCTGGTAGCCCCGTGACGAAATCCATCGTCACCTGTTGCCACGGTCGTTCGGGTGGCTCGAGGGGTTGCAGTAGTCCGGCTGGCCTTTGTCGCGACGACTTCATTGCTTGGCAGGTCGGGCAGGTTGACACGTAGCGCTGCACATCGGTTAACATGTCCGGCCAGTAATAATTCCGCTGCAGCAGCTTCAGTGTTTTGTCGGTGCCGAAGTGCCCGGAAAGGTTGGAGTCGTGAACCTCCTGCGTCAGCAGCTCCCGTAAAGGCTGGTATGCTGGTACCCAAATCCGGTTAGTACCGGCTTTTAGGTAGTACTTGCCGTGCGGTGTAGCAGCCTGTTGTTGCGGGTTCCGAAAAAACCTGTCGATCTTGTAGCCGTGGGTGAATAGTCCCGTCAGCATCGGGTTGGTGTGGGCGATTAGCACCGCCGCGTTTTGCATGGATGGTCGGGTGAGGGCGTCGGCGATGTTGTTGGCGCCCTTTTTGTACGTGATGTTGTACCGAAAGTTGGACTCAAGAAAGTCCAGCCACCGGATTTGTCGCGGGTTGAGTGTCGGTTGCTGTTAGAACTAGAGAGGAAAGTATGTCGATTAGGTTAGGGGAGGGGGTACAAGAGTATCGAGAGAATTGATGTACCCTCTAAGAATCACCCCTACACAACCTAGAACTAAATAATATGAAACATATAATTTGACACACCCCCATAGGTGAAGTAGGGGGGATAGCCAAACCTAACAGTGGTCACAAGACCAGTCAAGCAGAAAAGCAAGCAAGACAAAGCTCAGGGTGGATCTCAAGGACACCACACAGTCTGAGCACAAGCAGGTGGCCACAAGGCCAGTTCACATGCAGAGAGGGTTATAACAAAGCAAGAGATACAGTGATCACAACCTAGCAAGAGTAAACATGCAGGTATATATATATAGTGATCACAGTACAAGCAGGGTCAAGAAGTAAGCAAGTGAGGTCCAGTAGGCACAAGGCCTAGCAGAGTGCAGAAGCGCTGATGGTCACAAGGCTGAAGCGCCTTGGTGAACACATCAGCAGTGTTGGCCTCAGTGGCCACGTAACGCAGACAAAGCTGACCGCGCTGCTGCAGCTCTCGAGCAAGGAAGTACCGCAGGGCGATGTGCTTCGTTCTGTGCTCCAGTCTGTGCTCCTCACACAAGGCAATGGCAGCCTTGTTGTCGACGTACAGCACTGGAGGAGAACGAGGCCGCTCTCCCAGGTCGGTCAGCAGGTAGGTCAGCCAGCGTAGCTCCTGGGCAGCCATGGCTGTGGCGTAGATCTCAGCCTCACAACTGGAGCTGAGAACAGAAGAAGAGCGTGTAGAACGCCAAGAAACTGAGCCAGAGCCAAGGCTGAAGGTGTAACCCTAAGACGACCGCTGAGTAGCCTGATCGTCCGCCCAAGAAGCATCTGAGTGTCCTGTGAGTACAACTCGGTCCCGCCCTCCAAGCACTAGCCCCATGCCCGACGTACTGCACAAGTAGCGCAACACCCTCTTAGCGGCATCCATGTGCTCCTTCCTGTGACGGCCAGGAGCGACATAGCATGCAAGGATGCTAAGAGGGTATGCCAGGTCAGGTCGAGTGCAGGTCATCAGGTACATGAGGCAGCCCACAAGCTCTGGATACGGGCCACTCGGCTCTACGGACTCATCCGAAGGCAGAGCTGAGAGCGAGTAACCAGTAGGCAGAGGAGTGGACTGAGGCGAGGAGTACGTGAAGCGGAAGCGCTGGAGGATCTGCTGCACCATGTGTGACTGAGTCAAGGTGATGGTGCGCCGTGCTCTGTCCCGGGTGATCCGCAAGCCAAGATAGCTCGTCAGTTCACCCAGGTCTGTGCACGTGTGTCTCCTCTGCAGCTCCGACTTCACGTGGGCGAGTGCCGCGGTGTCAGCAGTGGCAAAGACCAAGTCGTCGACGTACACGAGGATGTAGAACGGCGGCAGCGAGGTGTCAGTGCGTAGAAACAGTGACGGGTCAGCAGTAGAGGGAGCGAACCCAAGAGCCGCAAGTGTCGTCCTCAGTGTGTCGTGCCACTCACGTGGTGCCTGGCGGAGACCGTAGACCGGCCGCTGGAGCCTCCACTGGGTACCAGGAGGAACCAACCCAGTGAAGCCAGGTGGGCGACGTAGCCAGATCTCCTCGTGCAGGCTGCCCTGTAAGAAAGCAGTGCTGAAGTCAAGTGAGTGAAGCTCGTAGTCGCGCTGAGCGGCTATGTGTAGCAGCACCCGAAGAGTGGTCATCTTCGGGGTGGGGGAGAAGGTATGGAAGAAGTCTACTCCCTCTCGCTGACTGAAGCCTCGAGCAACGTAGCGCGCCTTGAAGACAGGAGGAGAACCCGGCGGCCGCTTCACCCTGAAAATCCACATGCCACTGACGATGTTCGCCCCAGGTGGGGGAACCTCGTCGACGTAGGTGCCTGTGGACTTCCAGGAAGCCATCTCTGCGTCCATGGCTGTCTGCCACTGAGAGGAGTAGGGACCCGCCATCGCCTCAGCGTAAGAGCGCGGGGTCGGGATGTCTGGTGCATCCGGGTCTCCCTCAGGGGCAACTAGCATGGACACGAGACGGGGCAAAGCAGCAGCAAAGCACTGGAACTCCTCCTGTCTGTCCTCAAGGACGTCCGTGCCAAGAGCACACTCACCCCCAACGGACGGAGGACAGACAGACTCAGACTCAGCAACAAGGCTAGCGGCGTAGTCTAGACGACACCGGGCAGCAAAGTCTATCAACTCAGCGACCAGAGCAGACGCAGCAGAGGACTCAAAGGTAGGGTCAGTGGGAGTTGCGAATAGCGAAGCGAGCGTGCGCGTCACGGGTCTGCCACTGGGAGCGCAGAGTGCTGTCAGCAGTAGTGTCAGGGGCAGTAGCATGGCCTAGGGCGTGATCGTACAGTGAAATGTCCTCCTTGGCAGTGAGCTGTAGGAAGAGGTGCAGGTCATCTAGCCAGGTGTCAAACTTCACTGGGCGGCCCTCAGCATCGAAGGCTAGCACAGGAGGGCTAGCCATAGTAGCAGTAGGAGGAACAGTAGTAGCGTCAGTAGCAGTGACAGCAGCAGCAGTAGCGCGGTAGGGCAGGGCAGTGCGGCTCTAGCAGGGCAGGGCCGGGGCAGTGACGGCGGCGGCGGCGGCAGCTGCTGAAGGCTCGGGAACGGCCGCTGCTGCAGGGACGGCGGCGGCTGCTGTGGTATTCTCGAACGGCGGCTGCTGCTGCAGGCTCGGCGGCGGCAGCTGCTGCAGGTCTGGC